GATTATCAGCAGCCTAGACAAATTGTGGGAACCGGAAGTGAACACAAGACTTTTGATGGGATCTACTCAAGACGGAGTATGGAGAGACTTTCACTTCAATCTGGACACCAAGCTTTCCTAATTGCATTCTAAGACTGAGTTAGCCTTTTGAGACACTGCTTCACACATTGTTGCCTCATCTCAAGGTTGCTAGACTACTAAAGGCCCCAGGTCTTTTTTCAATATTAAATGTAGTCTGACCACACCTTCTCCAGCCTATAGTGTGCAGTTGTTGGGTTTTGTTTTGTGTTTTTGTTTTTTTGTCAACTTTATATTTACTTTATTTTATCCCTATTTGATTGTTGCTATCTTACTGTATCCTGATTTTGTAATCCAATGTTTCAACTATGTTTCCTACCTTTGTATCATATGTAAACTTGATAAACATGCAAGTATGCCTTTATTCAAGTCATTAATACCAATATCAAAGCCAGCCTATTCCTTTGTACTTCAAAGGGCTTATTGCAAAAATCCATTCGTATAAAGTTTTAACCCCCTAAAAGATCCAATATTAAAATATCATTCCCCCTCAGTAGACTCTTTCATCTTATTATTTTGTAAATATTTATTACTACTAATCACAATTCACATTCCTTTAGTGTTTGAATATTTACAAAGCGCTTTCTCCATAATGTCCTACTGAAATATTATTTTTCCTATTTTGCAGAAGGGAAAATTGGGACTCAGAGGGATTAAGCAATTTATCCATGGTTATATCTTCACTGGCTGCGTGAAGGTACCATCTGTGGAACAGACAGGTCTTGAGTCCTGGGTCCCATGCAGTCGTTGAAGAATATCTGAAGAATTCCTCTGACTGAGGAGAGATTTCCTATCAGGAATTTCCTTCAACCTTCACATCCCATTCTGAAACTTCCTCCAGGCTAATTAACTTGGTGGCCTCCAAGGCCTCTGTTTCAGTTTTCCACTCTAATCATTTTTTTTTCAATTAAATCATTTTAATCAAACTCCCCTCCTTCTTGCAAACTACAATTTTCCAAGAGACTTGCCCCAAAGGGATTGTTTATGATGTTAGAATCAAATGTAAGCCAAAGAGCTCAGCAGCCACCCAGGTGGTGATTTCCAGGAAAACTGAGCCCCCTTTCTCCTGAAATAAAGCACAGAAGTGGCCATGAAGAAACCAAAGGAAAAAAGGAATGCTAGCATATACCTTGACCACATGTAGTTCAGCCCTCACTCCCATTACTGAACTATGAAAATTTTTGCTGTCACCTTGCTAAAGGATAACGTCTCAAAGGCAAAAGTGGTTCGGAGATAGTCATTCATTTTATTTAATATTTCTGTTCACTTGTCCTCTCTCCACTGAGAGAATCACAAACTCTATTTACATATCATTTTCAAAGGTTTAAAAAAAAAAGCCTCCCTGACAAGTTCTCCATCTTCCCATTCCTCAGAATGCTTGGCCTAATATAAGGCAGCTTTAATAAACAGAGTGCACTACTAGCTAAGAATTTTTTTTTTAATCTGGTGTTTATAATTCCAATTGGTGTAAAATTTCCTGATGGTTAACACATCATGTTACAGACACTCTTCAACAAATGACTCATTCCCAAATAATTGACTAGCTTTGTAATTTGGGAAGTAAAAATCATATTTATGAGTCCCCAGAGGGAAGCACCTAAATTGCTATGCATAAAAAGCAGATAAATTATTTTTTTAAAATCATGAAAGCCCCCATTAGCTTTTATCTGTGCATTAAGGCAGTGCTTCCTAAGCACAGATGGCTTCCTAAAATCACATGAGTATATTTTAATCGAGGCTTTTTTAATATCTTGATGGCAAAATTACATGTTGGTTATTGTAATCCTGTCTCATATGCAGTGGGACATAAGTGGATGGGTCGGATTTCTTGCCACTGACACTCTCCTCATGCCCTCTGAGGTTGACTGACATTCAACACTGACCAACAGCATATTATGACTTCTGATAGATTCTCATTGATTATAGCAATGTAAGGGAGGAAGGGGAGGAATGGAGAAAGGAGGATAGAGAAAAAGAGAAAGAGACAGAGAGAGAGAGAAAGGAAGGAAGGAAGAGAAAAAAGAAAGAAAGAAAGAAAGAAAGAAAGAAAGAAAGAAAGAAAGAAAGAAAGAAAGAAAGAAAGAAAGAAAAAAGAAAGAAAAAGAAAGAAAGAAGAAAGAAAGAAAGAAGAGAAAGAAAGAAAGAAGAAAGAAAAGAAAGAAAGAAAAGAGAGAGAAAAGAAAAGAAAGAGAAGAAAAGAAAAGAAAAGAAAAGAAAGAAAAGAAAAGAAAGAAAAGAAAAGAAAAGAAAAGAAAAAAGAAAAGAAAAGAAAAGAAAAAAGGAATTCATAGAGATTGCTTTGCACTAGGTTGGCAAAATGTTGCTTCTAACTCTAATTGTATTTTTATTCACCATGGATTTGAAATCTAGAAGTCCTGGGCTTTTAAACCAAAGAGTCCTTTCCCCACTTTTCCAGAGTACTGTAAATTAGTTTAGTATGCTTGAAAGAAGCCATAATTGTAACTGCTCTTGTTGACACATCAACTTGATGCCACACAGAGCCAGGCTTGGGACCCTAGCCCTCGGTTTTCTAGTTACAGTGCATTTTAAGGGCCTGACAGGTCTGGTGCTAAGATGTTCTGAATTAGATTTGAATTACAACCGCTAAATGCCCTTGTCAAAGCTTGTTATGTTTGACACTAGCCACATCCATGAGCTGACTGTTCCTATGGAGGATACACAGCTTAAACAAAGACATACTCCCCAGCTTCATGCAGAATTGTCAAAATATAATTGAGTTAAAAAGAGCAGCAAAAGGAGCAGGATTGCAATCTTTGCTTCTCCTTTTGGCTTTGAAATGCATCCAGGAGACAATTTTGTGGCATCATAAGTACAAAATAAGAAGAAGGCTTTCTCCCAACATGCTGGGTTCTAACAAAAGAAACAACCCAGAATTGTCTCCATATTTAAATATTTGAAGTAGCCCAAACATTTTTAAACCCACTGGGGTTTTGTGTTTAAAGGTCCTCAAGAGAAAGGAGTAAAAACAGCTGGCAATGAGGGGATGGAGAAGGGACTAAATTCAGCCAGGATTTCTGAAGCAGGAACAGGGACCATGAAAAACAGAGACCTCTCTCTTCTCAAGGACCTCTGTTCAGTTCTAGCCATTGAATCATACAATGGTTGAGCTTCAGGACCTGATGATCGTGAAGTCCTATTTCTTCCTTTGATAGATTAAGGAACTTGGACTGAAGGCCTAAGAATGGAAAGTCCAAAGTTGCACACAGTGGCAGAGCTGGGAGAATAGAACCCTGCTCTCCTGATTTCCTCACCAGGATGATGGCAACTAGAACTCACTAATGTACCTCAAGCAAATCACAAGGGAGCATCTTGAAATATATGTGCCTGGCAATTCTGTTCAACCCTTTTCTGCAGGCCCCTCTTGAGTTTGGAAGTTTCTAACTTAGGGGCACTGATGAAATGCAAATTACAGTAGGAGTGTGTGGTTTGGGGATGAGAAGAAAGCAAACCCTGCTTGTCCTGACCCAGTAAGGTATGCAAAGTGCCTCTCCTAATAAGGTTCTCTATTCCATATGTATTTATTTGCTTTAATGGAAATAGCAGGTTGTCAGATAGCAAAGCATACTTCTTGGCCTCCTGATGGTGAGCATAAATTTATAGGGCTTAGCTTAAAAATGCCTCCAAGAGACATTCCAGTGGCCTGTCCAGGAGATCTCCTGTCCAGAAGCAACTGGGAGTGTGATGAAAGAGCAGGTTCTCAGGCCCCATCTGGAAGGGACATTTTAAGTTTCATTAAGGAAAACTCCTGAGGAGCTAAAAGAATGTTTGCCCCTTTGGAAGTGGAAGAGAGAGAAGGGAAATGTGGAGGAACCAGAGAGAAAGAAGTGGTCACAAATTCCACAGGAGCCTTGGCAGCAAACCATTTAAGACCAGTTCGATCCCTTAAATCTAGACCTTAGGGAAATGGAACAGCTCCCTTCTCCAGCTGGGCCACACGAAAATATGTTGGGAGAAAAATATCTCTAAAGCTGATGTTAAACAAGTTTCTAGCAGAGAGCAAAATATTCTCCTTTGAAAAAAAAATTAGAAAAACACTAGAAGCTCCAAGCTGAAACTGATTAAGTATGTGTCTGAACCTACCTACTGACTTGCCCAGCAAGTGTAAACAGCCTAGACTATTATGAACTCAATTCATGGTTTAACTTTGGGAAGACAAATATTGAAGAAGGAAATGTCCCAGGCCCAACAAACTCCATATTTAAACCCTTAAAGGTACCAGGAAGTAGCTTAAATATGCACCCCTTTCTTTCTGTTGATTTTTGTATTCAATTAAGAAGTCAAGGACTTTTAGCAGTGTTGTCCTGATATAATTCAGATGCAAATCACATTTCTGGAGTTCAGCCGCTGCCCTTTAAGCAGGACTCTTTTGACACAATAATTATAGGGCTGGAATGATGCTTTACATTAGTGTATAAAACACTCATTAAATTAAAATTCTTCCATGAAATCATGAAAATAAACAGTCTGTCCAAACTGGCATCAACAAATTCTCAGGGTGCTCCTGCACTTTCTCAGAGTCGCCCCGCTAGTGACTGTACTACAAGGCCCTATTTAACCACGAAGTGTTAAAGGTTCACATTCCTTTGAAGGCTCCATTCTGCTTCTTTTTAAGATTATTGCTTTAATTGTTTTTACAACTTGTAAGATTTTAAAGCTATTAGGCCTCAAATGGGGGAGGGAGGGAGAGGATCTGAAATGGTGATTATTATAACTTTCATAAGCTGTTGGGGAGATGGCTGGGGTTACCCTGCACTCTCCTTGCAAAAGAACTACGCATACACTCCCATCCAAGATCTTAGGGGACACATAAAACTGCAAGAGTTCCTTCATGTTGAAAGACCTCAAAGTTCGGGTAGTCCACCGACCTTGAGAAACCCTCCCAGGATCAACGCGAACACAACTCCGGATGCAAATAGCAAGAGGTTTATTGAACTTACGAGTACTCGGGCGACTCAGTCACCTAGAGGGACTGGCGCGCCGGGTGGATTCTTTGGTCTCATTTTATAGCAAAAAAGCGCGGGTACAGAAGCGAGGAGCAAGATCATTGGTTAGTTTGAATAAAAACTCCGGTCACGAGAGGGTTCTAGAAACTGCTGAGGGGCACCCTAGAAACTGTTATGAGCTCAGCTATTTCTGGGAATTGTTTGCATAAGTCCGGGGTGGGGACTCAGGTGCATGACCACAGATATCTTCCTTGTTTTTCTTGCTCTGACCTTTTACTGTGCCTGGCTGCACCTGTCCCTAAACCTTGGGCCCTCCGGGTAGTTTCCATACTCCACGGAATGATTTCTGCCTCATGATTTCTGCCTCCTTCATTCCCCCATTTTCTTTGAGGGTAGCTCTAATCATAGAGCAGAATTAAAGGTTATCCTCGTTGTCTAGGGTCTGGTACTTGTGCCTGAGAACCAGAATCCTTACTGCACTAACCCTATCATTGATGAATTGCACTAACTTATTGATGACACAAGGCCCGAGGGTGAGTAACAGAAGGAGGAGTAGCAGGGGACCAGCAAGGGCAGACAGTAAAGTAGTAAGCCAGGGGGAACGGTTGAACCATCCCTCGTACCAACTTAAATTCTTTTGGTGCTCTAACTGCCTCTTATCTAACCTTTCCTTGAGTCTCCTCATGGAGTCTCGCACCGCGCCTGAGTGGTCAACATAGAAACAGCATTCCTCTTTTAGGGCTGCACAAAGGCCCCCTTCCTTCAAAAATAGCAGATCAAGGCCTCTCCTATTCTGGAGCACTACTTCAGACAGGGAGGTTAAGGAATCCTCTAGTTTACTTATGGAGTCTTGAAGGGCCCTAAGGTCTGTATCCATGGCAATCTGGAGGCTAGTCAAACCTTGTTGGAGGTCTATGGGCCCTTTTATTAGGGCGGTCGAGCCGGTACCTATACCTGCTGCGACCCCTAATCCGAGAAGGACAGCCAGGGTGAGTGAGACAGGCTCTCTCTTGTTTCTAGGGTGGGGGGACTCATAGGCCTGTAGCAAGGTACCGTCTGGGTGATAGTAGATGCGAGGGACAAGCTGGATCTGGATACAGAAATCGTTAGACTGGTTGAAGACTGATGTAGAGAGGCAGGGGGTGAGGCCAGAATTACAAGCCCACCAGCTGTGGTTGGAGGGGAGGAGGTACTTGTGAGTATGTGAGGCGTTTAAGGGTATAGTCAGGTTGCAGAGATGTTGGTGAGTAGGAGGTACTTTCCCTATACATAACCCGAGTCCAGAGACTTCAGTGAGGGTGAGCTTCCCTTTTCCTCCTTCCAGACTCTCGGTAGGTGGTGACTGCGTTAGTTACAGCACAAACCTGACACTTGCTGGTGATTTCACGCACTACAGACTGGAGATTCGGGATGTGAAAACTGGTGCGACCTACAAGCTGGAGAAGCTTGTCTGGCCCTAAGTGCGTGAGCTGATGCAGCCGTTGAATGAATTCCCTTCCCTGGTCAGGGGTGAGCTCTTTCGGCTTGATCTTCCCCCGTGTAGGCTCGAAGTGTTCTTGATTTTTCGTGGTCTCCGTCAGTATTCTGGTTGACTGGGCAGCTTGTTTCGCGGCCTCATCGGCCTTTCGGTTTCCGGTAGCCACAGGGTCAGTCCCTCTTTGGTGGCCGGGGCAATGGATGATAGCGACTCGCTTAGGGAGATGGATGGCCTCTAGCAGGGCCAAAATCTCCTCTTTGTTCTTGATGTCTTTTCCAGCGGAAGTGAGCAGTCCTCTTTGTTTGTATATAGCCCCGTGAACATGAGCGGTGGCAAAAGCGTACCTGCTGTCCGTGTAGATGTTGATGCTTTTTCCTTCGGCCAAGCGTAATGCTTGTGTCAAGGCGATTAGTTCGGCCTTCTGAGCTGACGTTCCCTCTGGCAGGTTGCTCGCCCACACCGTCCGCGTGTTGTCCACAATGGCAGCACCTGCTTGTCGCCTGCCATCCATGATGAAACTGCTGCCATCCGTATACCAAGCGGGTACCCCGGGCAACGGCTGATCTCTCAGATCAGGTCGGGTTCCTGTCTCCTCGGCAAGGATTTCTGAGCATATGTGTATTGGGGTGTCGTCTGACTCTACGGGGAGCAGGGTGGCAGGATTCAGAATGGCCGGGGGCGCAAAAGACACCCTCTCATTCAGCAGCAGACTTTGGTAATGGGTCATCCTGGCATTTGTCATCCATCGGTCGGGGGGCTGTCTCACAATACTTTCCAGGTTGTGAGGTGCAATCACCAACACGTTCTGTCCTAGGGTTAACTTATCAGCGTCCTTGAGAAGGAGTGCTACGGCCGCAATTGCTTTTAGGCAAGTTGGCCACCCACTGGCCACCGGATCTAATTTTTTTGACAGGTAAGCTACCGGGCGTCGCCATGGTCCTAGGGTTTGAGTAAGCACCCCCCGGGCAACACCCTCTTTTTCATCCACGTACAGAGCAAATGGCTTGGTGAGGTCCGGAAGGGCCAGGGCGGGGGCCGATAGCAGGGCCTCTTTTATACGGCCAAAGGCTTCCTGGTGGGCCTCAGTCCAGGTAAAGGGAACCTTTTCTCTCGTCAGGGGGTACAGGGGTGCAGCCAGGGAAGCGAAACCAGGGATCCAGAGCCTACAGAATCCAGCAGTGCCCAAAAACTCACGGACTTGTCTGGGGGTTGTAGGGGTGGGGATCTTCATTACAGTGGCCTTTCGGGCTGGGGTCAGCCATCTCTTCCCCCCTTTTAGCAAATACCCGAGATACGTAACTTCCTCCCGGCAAAGCTGGGCCTTTTTGGCCGACACTCGGTATCCCAACTTACTTAGTTCCTGTAAGAGCCTTCGTGTCCCTTCTTTGCAGTCTCGGTACGTTGGGGCCGCTACCAGGAGGTCATCAACATATTGGAGCATCACTACCTGGGGGTTGAGAGCCCTGAAGGATGCCAGATCCCGGTGGAGGGCCTCATCGAAGAGGGTGGGAGAGTTCTTGAATCCTTGCGGTAGCCGAGTCCAGGTTAGCTGGCCAGTATTGCCTTTTTCTGGATCTCTCCATTCAAACGCGAACAATGGCTGGCTGTTGGGGTGTAGCTTGAGGCAAAAGAAAGCATCTTTGAGGTCTAAAACTGAATACCAGGTGTGGCTGGGCGGGAGGGAACTGAGTAGGTTATAGGGGTTCGGGACTGTGGGATGAATGTCCTGTACTCTTTTGTTGACCTCCCTCAAATCTTGGACTGGCCGATAGTCATTGGTTCCAGGTTTTTTTACAGGTAACAAAGGGGTGTTCCAGGGCGACTGGCAAGGTACCAGAATCCCCAAATCCAAGAATCTTTGGATGTGGGGCCTGATACCCTCCCGGGCTTCCTTGCTCATTGGGTACTGTCGAACAGCCACTGGTGAGGCATCTGACTTCAGTTCCACTACCACTGGTGGGACTTGATTGGCCAGTCCCATACCTGCCTTCTCGGCCCAAACCATGGGAAAGAGTTGGAGCCATGACGGGTCGATAGAAGGAGGGACCGGCTTTTCGTGTAATCGGTATTCCTCCTCCAAGTTCAGGACTAAACACATGGCGGGGCGGTCTTCCCATGTTACCTGTGGGCCCTCTGTGGAAAACTGGATTTGAGCTTTTAGCTTGGTGAGGAGGTCCCTGCCTAACAGGGGAGCAGGGCATTCGGGTATGACCAAGAATGAGTGGGTCACTTGCTTTTGTCCAATTTTCAAAAGTCTCTTGGTGGTCCAAGGGTAAACTTTGCTGCCCGTCGCCCCAGCCACGACTGTCCGTTTGGGTCCCATCTTTCCCATAGGCTTGGTCAATACTGAATGTTCGGCCCCGGTATCAACCAAAAACTCAGTGGGGATCCCCTCCACAGTTAACGTTACCCTGGGCTCGGGGAGGGGGTCCGAACCCCGACTCCCCTAGTCACCCAGGGTCAGGACATTGGTTTCCCTGGCGTTCTTCTTCCGGGGGCACTCCCTTGCCCAATGGCCCCTTTCTTTACAGTATGCGCACTGATCTTTGTCCAGAGGCGGTCTTCCTTCCCTAGGTGCCCTCATTGCCCTGTTGCTCAGATTCCCTGCCTGTCTCCCTCTGGACCCTTTCTCACTTACTACCGCGGCCAAGATTTTGGTCAAGTTTTTCTCCTGGCGCCTGTCACGCCGTCTCTCTCTTTCCTCTGTCTCCTTTTTCTCTCTTTCTTGCTTTTCTTCCTCTGTCTCTCTCTTATGATATACCTTCTCTGCCTCCTTTATGAGATCCTGCAAGGAATGGTCCTGGAGTCCTTCCAGTCTTTGTAATTTCTTTTTAATATCCGGGGCAGACTGTCCGATAAAGGACATGGCCACCGCCGCCTTTTGTCCCTCAGAAGAGGGATCAAATGGGGTATATCTCCTATAAGCCTCCATTAGACGTTCTAGAAAAACGGACGGGGGTTCTGTTGGTCCCTGCAAGACTTCTCTTACCTTGGCCAAATTGGTGGGGCGCCTTGCTGCCCCTTTGAGACCCGCCACTAGAGTCCGGCGGTAGACCAGGAGACGCTCCCTACCTTCAGCCGTGTTGTGATCCCACTGAGGTCGATTAAGGGGGAAGGCCTCATTAATGAGGTTCTCGAGTTGTGTAGGGGCCCCGTTAACTCCAAGGACGTTCTTGCGAGCCTCCAAAAGAATCCTTTCTCTTTCCTCGGTGGTAAAGAGGACTTGCAGGAGCTGCTGGCAATCGTCCCAAGTAGGCTGGTGGGAAAACATGAGGGACTCAAGGAGTCCCGTGAGTCCTGTAGGATTCTCGGAAAAAGAAGGATGATTAGATTTCCAATTATAGAGATCTGCTGAGGAGAAAGGCCAATATTGCAAGGGGACTAAGCCGTTTGGTTCGGCCGGGGGTCCCACGGCCCGGAGGGGCAGGGCCACAGTGGAGTCAGGACCAGTGTCACCCGTAGGACTGCGGGGACGGCGACTCCTAGTTCCAGCGGCCGGTCCCTCAGAGCCGAGTCCCTCAGCCATTAGGCCTGGCGCTGGTCTGGCCGCGTGAGGGGCTGGGGGAGGTGGAGGGGACGTTGGATAGGGCGGGGGTTCTGAGAGGAGGAACAGGCTGTCCGTCTCCGGGTAGATGGGGAGCCGGGAAGGAGCGGACGGCCTCCCCCCCGCCGACTTTCGCCCGTTATCTTGACCAGAGGCAACGGCGATCTTGGCTAAGGGTGGCACCCATGGGGGGGGGCTGTTGGAGAGGTCCTGCCAAACTATGATGTAGGGAACCTGGTCCGGGTGTCCTCCAGTCTCCTGGAAGACAATCCTTTTGACTGCAGAAATAATAGAAGGATTAAAAGTCCCCTCCGGTGGCCATCCCACTTTGAACGTGGGCCACTCGGAGGAACAGAAGGTTTGCCACTTTCCCTTTCTTATCTCCACGGAAAGATTGTGAGCCCTTGTCTTCACGTCTTTCCAGTGATCTAGTGTAAGAGAGAGAGGGGTCGACTCACCCTGTCCCATTCTGGGGGTCCCGAAGAGTGGAATTACGACCCAGATAATGATTATTATTGAAATAAAAAGGAAAAAAAATTATATGGCGGCGTAGACGTATATTAAAAAGACAGGAAAAAGAGTCAGAAGGTAGGGTATGTCTCTCAAGACAGTGCAACTGTGAGATCAGAAGAGAATTATCCCTTGCCGTGGGGTCCACCAGGCGTCCCTGGTCCTCCCCTGATCCTGGGACGTCTCCCAGGATTGCCGGGCGGTGAGCCCCCGAACACGTCTGTCCGCTACTCACGCCTCGATCTTAGATCGATTAACCCGGAATAAACTGAAACCAAAAATGCGCGCACACCGAATAGACAGTCAGAGTTTTCGGAGTCAGACACAGAGAGAACATAGAGCGATCGCTGGCCAGCTTACCTCCCGTCGGTGGTTCGGCGGTCCTTGGGTGGGAATCTCAGATCCCGGACGAGCCCCCAAATGAAAGACCCCAATGTTCGGGTAGTCCACCGACCTTGAGAAACCCTCCCAGGATCAACGCGAACACAACTCCGGATGCAAATAGCAAGAGGTTTATTGAACTTACGAGTACTCGGGCGACTCAGTCACCTAGAGGGACTGGCGCGCCGGGTGGATTCTTTGGTCTCATTTTATAGCAAAAAAGCGCGGGTACAGAAGCGAGGAGCAAGATCATTGGTTAGTTTGAATAAAAACTCTGGTCACGAGAGGGTTCTAGAAACTGCTGAGGGGCACCCTAGAAACTGTTATGAGCTCAGCTATTTCTGGGAATTGTTTGCATAAGTCCGGGGTGGGGACTCAGGTGCATGACCACAGATATCTTCCTTGTTTTTCTTGCTCTGACCTTTTACTGTGCCTGGCTGCACCTGTCCCTAAACCTTGGGCCCTCCGGGTAGTTTCCATACTCCACGGAATGATTTCTGCCTCATGATTTCTGCCTCCTTCAATGTCTGCTGAAGTGGGATCAGCGATTTTATAGTGCTCTTGGGGGATGGGGAGATAAATGCCATCATTTTGAAGAGCAGAAGATGGAAAGGGAAATGGGGAGGGAATTGGTTACCTCTTTTCCACCCTTTTTCCCCTTTCCCTTATTTTGTAGTTTCACCTGCCCCCTTGGGATCACAATTCAACTCCAAGATTCTAAGAGCTCAAAGGGAACTCAGGAACTATCTAGTCCAACATGTGCCTAACTGAAAATCCCTTCTGCAATTTCTCCAACAAGTGATCTCACTGAGGAAACCCACTGTCTTCTGAGGTAGCTATTCAGCCTTTGTATAGCTTTGATTGTTAGAAAGGGGTGTGTGTGTGTGTGTGTGTGTGTGTGTGTGTGTGTGTGTGTGTCCTAAACTCAAGCCTGAATCTTCCTATCTGCAACTTCCATCACTTTCTAACTAGTTCTACCCTCTGGAGCAAAGAGATTTAATCTCTCTTTAATGAAAGCCCTTCAAATATTTGAAAAAAACTAGTATATATTCCCTCCAAGTCTTTTAATCTCCAAACTGCTCATCTCCAGTTTCTTCAGTTAATTCTCTATGTTATATTCTTTAGGATTTTCACCAGTCTCATTGGCCTATTCTCAACATGTTCTCAGCCTGCTTAGATTTCTAAAATGTGGTGCCCAGAACTGAACACAGAACTCTAAATGTGGCCTGACAAGGGCAAAGTATATTGGGACTAGTATTCCCATTGTTCTGAAGACAATTCTTCTTTTAACACCACTTTAACTTGAATTTGGCTGACACGTCACAGTGTTGACTCATATTGAGTTTGAAGTTGATGAAAACATTCAGAATTTTTTTTATTAGAATTCCATGATTCTCATATCCTTTATTTGTGATGTTGATTTTTTTAACCCAAGTAACTGATTTTACATTTGACCTTGTTATATTTCATTTTATTGGATTCAGCAGAATATTCTAGCAGTCAGGCTCTTTTAGGATTCAGCCTCTGTAATCCAACCCATCATCTTCTCCAAGGTTTGTGTCATCTGCAAATTGGACAATCCTGAAATCAGTGGTAAATATATTAAACAACATGAGGGCTAGGATTGAGCTCAGGAATAGTGCAGTAGACAAGTTCCTCCAAGTTGATATCCAAGTTGGATAACTACATTTTTGGTCCAGTCATTTATTCAACTAGTCCCAAATCTACCTATTACTTCATCAATATCTTTCCGCCTTATCCAAAAGTATACAATAAGGGATTTTATCAAATGCTTTGCTGAAATCTAGTAAGGCTATGGTTACAGCATTCTCTTGATTTCCCATTCTAGTAACAGTCCAAAAAAGAAAAAAAAAAGGAAATGAGACTGAACTGATATGACTTGTTCTTGACAAACTCATAATGGTGTGCAGTGATTACTGACACTCATTTCTAAATGCTCTGAAAATATCTCCTCAGTAATGTGTTCTACAATTTTGTCAGGAAGAGAAGTCAAAATTCTCATCCTAAAGTTTGTAGAAGGCCTCTTCCTTTTTTGAGGAAACAAGAACACTTGTCCTTCTTCCCTCATACAGCATATCTCTTATTCTCCAAGAAATGTCAAAAAGTCACTATAACTTAGCAATCACCACTGTCAGGTCTTTCACACCCCATGGAGAGTGGTCCTACTATATCCAACATAGCTTAAAATTTTTTTTGCTATCATTCATTGGGAAAGGATCTCATATTTAGAATACTAATAAGTTGAAACTTATAAATAATTATATTAAATTAGAAAAGTTTTGCACAAACAGGAGCAATGCAGCCAAATTAGTAGAAAAACAGGAAACTGGGGCAAAAAAATTTTACAGTGTCTTTCTCTGAAAGAAGCCTCGTTTCTCACATACATAGAGAACTGAGTCAAATTTACAAAAATATGAGTCATTCCCCAATAAATGACCAAAGGATATAAACAGGCAGTCTTTGGATAAAGAAATAAAATAAAGTTATCTATAGTTATACAAAAAAATGTTATAAATCCCTACTGATTAGAGAAATGCAAATTAATACAACTCTGAGGTACCACCTTGCACCTATCAGATTGGCTAACATGACAGAGAAAATGACAAATGCTGGAGGGGATGTGAAAAATTGGGATATTAATGCACTATCCATAGAGTTGTGAAATGGTCCAGCCATTTGGAGAACAATTTGAAATTATGCCCGAAGGGCAATAACACTGTGCCTACCCTTTGACACAACAGCAGCTCTTTTTGTAGTGGCAAAGAATTTGAAATTGAGAGGATGCCCATCAAATGGAAAATATTTGAACAAGTTGTGGCATATGATAATGGAATACTATTATGCTATTAGAAATGATGAACAGGATGCGTTTGGAAAAATCTGGGGAAACTTTTATGAACAAAGTAAAGCAAAGTAAAGTAAAAAGAAACAGGAGAACACTGTACACAGCAGTATCAATTTTGTACAATGATCAACTGTGAATGATTTAGCTATTTTCAGCAATACAAGGATACAAAACAATTCCAAAGGACTTATGATAAAAAAAATGGTATGCATTTCCAGAGGAAGAACTTACAGAGCTTGAATGCAAATTGAAGCATTATTGTTTTCATCTTCATTTTTTTTTTGCTTTTTTGCAACATGACTAATATGGAAATACATTTTGCATGATTTCAAATGTATAATCGATCACATGTCTTGTCTTCTCAATGGGACAGGGGACAGGAGGGAGGGAAAGAATTCAGAATTCAATTTTTAAAAAACAAATGCTAAAAATAAATAATAAATTTGAGAATTTTCCAGAGAAATTTATAAATGATCTAAAAACTGATTCTTAACACCCTTTCTCCTCTTTCCCATTAATTTGTCACCATAGCTGCAGAAGATTCATCTTCTAAATACAAACTTTTGCCCAGTGTTGTTATTTGGCTGTGAGTCAAGGAATGCTATAGTTTCTAAATAGTGTAGGTCCATTTTCACCCACAGGGCAATGGAGAGGAGCATGGTGTGTGTGAGGAGGCTGCAACACATCACAAATGAGAAATAGAAAGGATGTTTAAGATAGAGGATGTCATCAAAGAAATGTATGAATAAAAATGATTGCCTAGATATGCATTGAGAAAAAGGGGAAATAGCCAAACTGTTGCCTGTCCTTGCAATATCAAAATAACATAAGGAAGTTCTTTGGCATTCTGGGTGAACACCCAGTGGTAGACTTAAGGGAGAACATAAGCAGGTCACAGAGGTCAGGTAGGCATGAGAGGGTTGCCATCAACACTGGAAAGAATACCCGCTTCAATGAGATCACAATTCAATCTGAGTACTCATTTGTCTTTAGCGTGTTTCACAAGTCTCAGAATATTTTAAACTTTAGTATTTCTCATAATAGTTCTTACATGACAGTGCTGTTCCTAAATAGTAGTGGTCTTTAAACATAGAGGCAGCTGAATAGCACAGTGGATAAGAACGTTGGAGCTGGAGTCAGGTAGATCAGAGTTCAAATCCAACTTCAGATGCTTACTAGCTACGTGACCCTAAGCAAGTCAGTTGACCGCTATCTGCCTCAGTTCACTCATCTGTAAAATGGGGGTAACAACACCTACCTCTCAGAATTGTTGTGAGGTTAAAATGACATTTATAAAGAGCTTTGCAGCACTATCTGAATGCTATTTATTATTACTATTATTATTATTATTATTATTATTATTATTATTATTACTATTCATCCCTAGTTACTTATCTTTGGAAGTAACTTTCATATATATCTTTTTAAAAATCTGAGTTTGTCTGTAAGTTCCTTATGCATTCTGATCAGTATCTTCATTGGAATTTTCATTGAAATCATTTTTATTTGTTTTCAGAATTTCATTCTTGAGAGCCTTTCCTCTCAAATGAATTTCTCCTTCAAAATATTAGATCATCAGATCCCACCTGTCCCCTCTTTTAACTTCTTGAAATCTGCACTCCAAAACATAGGCTACATGTGACACTGGGACTGATTTCCCTCTCCCTATCATGTACCTATGATGTAGCTTTCCTACCCCATAAAGTTCCTATCATTTCTACGTTAACAACTGGTTCCTCTTGATCGATCAGGATCTGGTCCAGAATAGAAAATTTTGTCACTTGCTCTACCTTTTGAAGGGTAAAATTCTCATTAAGGCAAGTTACAATTACCTCATCTGCTCTGCATTTGACTGAGATGTGTCTAGCACAGCTGATGTCCAACATCATTATATGTAAGGTTTAGGATCTATTTCTGAACCACTTCATGTAATTCTTCCTCTTGCTCAGGTGATCTGCTTTCTTCCTGCTTGGTCCTTATGCAAAAGTTCTCCCCAGTGTTTCCCCCCTTAGGTTTTTGTATTTCATCATAAAAGTATACAGTCATAATATAATGGTACTTTCCTATTTTTGCGTATTCTGTTCTTTTAAAATAAACTATACCCTTTCAATACCAAATTTCAATTATAAGTCTAATCCCATCAAATATCGGTGTGATACCTGTGAAATCAAATTTGCTTCCTCGTGTGACGATTTCCATTTCACCCTTTTTATTACCCAACATTTGTTCATGTACATATAGGCATCTGAAGTCATATGTTTGATTGCTGCCTTCCATGTTAGATATGATCTTATCAGTCAACAGACAAATGCCCACCATGGGCCAAGATCTGTGCTAGACACTAAGGAACAAAGACAAAAGCTAGTCACTGCTCTCAAGGAGCTTACATTTAAAGAGAGATGACAACATGTACCTACCAATGTCTACAAAATATCTACAGAACAGATACAAAGTAATTTTGTGGCAGAGCCACTAGCAACTGAGGGAACAAAGAAAGGTCTCATGAAGAGGGTAGCACTTTAGACAAGTCTTGAAGGAAACCAGGGGATGTCACAATGTGAAGCTGAGGAGAGAGTATATTCTAGGCATTGACGGACAGCCAAGGCAGACGCAGAGATGGGGAATGGAGTGCCATGTATGAAGAACAGTGACAAAGCTAGTT